ACAACAAAATATTAGTCGCAAACACGTGTCGAACACCACTTCTATTCCTGATGATGAATTTTCATCTTCAAGTCATGGTATCCAGGCCACATCAAACCCAGGAGAAATTAGCGTAATAGATGGAAAGACCGTTCTTTTGGTTATGGGAAGTATATGTTCAGAGAAGGTGAATATCACATAATCATATTGATAACCTCATACTACCACTCTACCAATGTCATGCTACAGCCATACAGTAATGTTGTCATTAGTGATAATACAGTGATAATTCACAGAAGTAATTTCTGAGAAAACATGAATTGTAATAACTTTAACATGTTTCAGCTTTGCTGTTCATATAGGTGATTGTCAGTCATTCATCGATTTAATTTTCGACTTCCTTCTTGAGAAATACCAGTTCAATTGCTCTTCACTTTGGGTGAATATCTAGCAGATTTGTTCATTACGGATATCTTCGATTTTCTTTTTTTGGCAAATATTTTTGGTAAAATGTTTTACTTTTGTTCTCCTTTTGAAAACTGCCAGCATAAGTGCTTTGATATTTGGTATGTAGGTATCTTGGGTGGACCTCTGTCAGATTTGTTAATTTCATGACGATCTTTCTCTATTTTTGGCAAATATATTTTAAATATTTTGTAAAAAATGCGATTTTCAACTCGTTTTGATATTTTATATTAAATTACCTTGAATGAATCTTTATCAGATTTGTTCATTTCAAACTGATATTTATCTTCTTTGACAATTTTCTATTTTTGAAAAATATTTTTGAACTCTACAAACCTGATTGCTTTGTTGAGGTGTGCATTATTTATTGGTGAACAATTTGGTCTCTAGTTGGCTAACACAGTGTTCATGTTAGCTATTTTGACCATCAAGTTGCTTTTTATGTCACATTTTGACAGTGGCAGTGGCTCGAATGTTTAATGACTAAAGCCATTTGGAGAGTGCAACTACAGCAAGAAATTAATGGGGAAAAAATGAGTGGTGTTCCTACAAAAGAAGGATGTGTTATTGTGACCAGTGGAGGAAACATGCAATGTAATAACATCTACCATGTATTATGTTGCGAATGGGATTCTAATGGAAGCAAAGCAAGTCAGGTTAGTCACATGATCCATTTTGTCACAAGTGTATGTTACGTTATGAACTAGAATGCATGTTTATTGCATATCAATGGTAGTCAATGTGTTTGTTCGCCTGTCTTGGTTTGTTTGTCTAAGAAGACCCTTTAGAACAGAAATTGTATTATAGAATTGTCAATGCCTATGATGTATGATGTTATCGCCGTGATCGGTTTTAAAAAAACTGCACCAAAGCAGAGCATGGCAATAATGATGACTAATGGCAATAGAAAACATCTGAAAGTATCTGTACAGTATCTGTATTGGTTTTGTTTTGTTCATGTGAATTGATTAGTCATTTGTTTAGTATTCTCGGCAGATCC